GCGAAACGTATGCAACCAGTTTATAAAGCTTGGCGAACCAAGGCTGACTAGCCGAACAACCTCTCTGTGGGGCCAGTTGGGTGGTTCGGGTTTAACCCGTTCCAGCAAATGGTTCGGCAGCAGTGTTCCAGGACGTGGTGGGTTTTCGCCTAGCAAGCGTTCTCCCTATAAAAAGCCACAAATGTCCGCTTAGCAACCCTGTGACGTAGCGGATGTGACTCGCCAATGAATAAAGTCACTGCCTAAGTTTATCAAATCCACAGGCGTCAAAGATTCCTTCAGACACCGGCGACGCGATCGAACTCATTCAAAAGAACAGCAACACATTTACAAATACAAGCAAGAGACCTACCTACAATTACGGATCCGCATATATGAAAGTCCTATTATACTGTTGCACGTTCCTTAAACACTTGTTGTACTGTTACTATGATCATGCCTTTACTGGTGTGCCTCGCGTAGCCGAGAATAAAAATTTAGTTAGTATTTAATTAGCTGTTGAACACCGAGTGGTCTGTAGGACATCTTCAATGGCGACGTTAATTGTTTTTCAGATTACTCAAGTGGCTGGTCAGCGCAGTTGATGTTCTGAGTACGTTCGATACTCAAGCTTTGTGGATTGTTACACTAAGTGACGCAGGAAATGCACAAATTGCGGGCTTCACTGAGGCCGAGAAGATAGCTGAAGCATATGGACGTGCTTACACAGAGAAAAGGAAGGGTCAAAGTGCAGATAAACGCTACAAAAAGACCCTGGGCCTACAAGCTCCATCTGTTGCGTTGGGAACGACTTGGGTTTAGGGCAGGTCTTTGTTTATTGGACATGTGGTAACCTGATACGGATGTCTGTATCGCTGATACGCTGAGAAGACGAGAAAATAAGAGGAGGCCTGATCAGTGCCTACCTAAAAAGTGGTAAACAGTGCTCTGTCTCAGAAGGGAGCACTAATCAAGTTGGATGAGACCTATCTTCAGGATCCGTAATATACAACTCTGTAGTCACTAAAAAACGCAAGTACGATTAGGTATACATAGCATTTTGAACTGCTGCCGGTAAGCACTGAACTTGGCGGCCCAAAAAAGCTGTCAACGGGATTCATTGAAAAAGGCTGACTTCTAAGTGTGATTGTGAGAAAAACAAATAAATAAATGGGTATCATGAGCCACTGGTTTGACGTCAGCAAACGCACAAAGTGCCACCGTCGAAGTCTGAACCAGACGGCGCGCAGATGCATACAACACTACTGACATGCCTGTGTGATTCGGAGACAGCGTAAAGAATCCGGCGATTGATCCGATATATAGAGCAAACATCGGAAAACCATGTGGGAAAGATGACCTAGTTTGACAACCGATATGGGGTCAATGCGGCCAGAGATGGACGCCTGATAAAAAAACCTGCGAGGTGTCGGACGCAAAGGTGGGGAGAACGGACGGAATTCGCGATTCTAGGTACCATATCCGAGAAAAGGATTTAAGTTGATGATTCCAGTTATGTGTTACGTTACCCTTCTTTTCACCACGCTGTAGTAAAGCTTGGATATCCCGTCGACGTGAGTCGCGAAAATTGGACCCCATGCGCCTCGATATTTGGTCGGACCATAGTTGGTTAACCGAAAGGAGTAGCTAAGCTTAAACTCGGGAGTCCGCTCCAAAAGGCAATCTTGTTCGGATTGCTTGTCCTGCAGTGAAGATGATAGGTGTTGTGTGAGGGCAATGCCAATGTAATGTTTTCATCATTTGCACAGATGATGGCAATTTGTTAGCGAGTCCAACACTCACTGGACAATGACAGATTCTAGCAAGAAAGTACTGCTGCCGAACTCATTGCCTGAGTGAATTGCAACCCACAGCCTCAATTTGAACCGCAAGCAACTCTGAAGTGAACTGTGGGCAATTTGATCACTGGAACCGAGTGCTTTCAGATGTCCACTCTGCAATGAGTCATCAATCGTTGTGACAAGCGCGGCTCGCCGCAACTCGGTGACTTAGGTGTAAAGGCTTCCGTCGGTATCTCATGAAGTGCCGGATTACTGTCACAGTCCTGCTATCTCTGTTTGATGAGTGCAACCATGCACGAAACCGGTTAGTGAGTACAGTGTGCACGTGGAAGAAAAAAAGCACGCCTGTACGCGTAGTACCGACGCTTGACTACTGCGCAAACACCACCAGTTACAAGTGGGCTAAGAATACTGCGAGGGTCGCACGGGTCCCTACGCAGGCTCGAACCCGCGCCTCAGATTACAAGGCAGCCTTGTGACTACGGGCCGGCTTGCGACTGGAAAACAGCTAGTATTTATCTATATATTTACGGAAGTTTGAATCAACTGCTTCTAACTGGATGGTAGCGGCCAGTGGTCGGGGCCGTAAGTGTGTCTGGAACAAGCGATGTGGGCGAAATATGGAACGCTACTTAACTAAACGCTTAGGACCATATACAGAGATTTTCCGCAGGCAGAGACGTGTGCTGTCGATGAGATCACTAGCACACTGAGTCGTGTGTCCGATGTAATCACCAGATGTTAATGTTAAGAAAACTGTAGCAATCTAACCAAGCTTCTGTGATGGGACCCGGTTAAAAATCTTCAAAAAATACGAGGCACAGATGTGATGTTGAGAAGATTACTAAGGGGGCAACAGCGATCAATATTCTAGCATACCTTTCAAATTGTCGTAAGAAGCTAGCCGTTTTAAATAGCTCCTAGAAAGATGCGTGAAAAGAATGGTTATTTCCTTCTTAAGGTATAAATAAGCAACGCAGTCGGGATTCACAGGTATATACGATTCGGCTGTTTGTTGTGTGTAGATGTCACCTTTTGTGAAGGAGATCAGCAGAGATCGGTCCGGAAGAGGGGAGGACCGAGGGTATAATATCTAACCGAAGTGAGGTTAAACCACTGTGTTTTATTGCGATTAAATGTTTCAGACCAGTTTGTCAAATTTGATCCATGCAACAAGGTATTGTGGACGCAGCTACCTTGACGCAAGTACCTGTAATAATAATACTGTTAATAATAAATAATACAGCATGGATGGATAAAAGCCAAATTTGTCAGATGGAATAGTTGGGAATCGGCTATGCACAATGGTCGCTGTTTCGTATCCGATAAGGCATCCAACCAGTGATGTGGAGGATCCCGAGGATCCCATCAACTAGAAGGGCAACAAGTGCAGCGAAGCAGTTTTGTTGAAACTAAGGACCAATATGTCATTTACGTCTACATCGAGAATATGAAAAGCTAAGCTGAGAAAGATGATGGATCATAAGCAGCAAGATAGCAGGGATGTGGAAGCTGCTCGACCATTAGGCGGAGGCCAACCAAAATAAATCGGTCTAACAAACGGTGATCAGTTTGCAGCGACGACTACCGCTGGTGTGGAGCGGGACTGGAGGGGACATGTTGATGACGACATGGGTCTGTTGTTGGAGAGCGGTGTGTCAACAGCTGACTTCTCCAGGTGATCAGTAACGTTGAGGCAGCTCCTCAAAGGTTGATATAACATTGAAACCTAGAGAAGAATCTTTGAGGAACCGATGGCCCTATCAGTACGCCAGTACGCCGTACCGATACGTCGCAGCCACCCGACCACCAAGTCGCGCAATGCCTAGGAATACTGCTAGGTTGCCCGCATTTACGCGAATTCGTACCGGTAACCCTCGGGTTACAAGGCAGATGCCTTATGCTTCCGGACACCGACCGAGGGGGATAGTGATTACAAGACCGCCTATGAACTAGGGACATCAGCGTGCTCTGTGTAGTTCAGGCGTAAGGAGCCGCCGGATGATGTAGGTAGTGGATAACCTCTCCCACCTGTCTACCACAACTTGAACAGACAATAACTCTAGTAAAAAATGTCGCCATGTTTACAAGGCCACAGTGAGGGCCGTCCTACTCTATGGGAGTGAGACAGCCCCTTCGATCTGAGGACGTGTTGTGCCTTCGAGTCCTTAATTATCTTTTTCCGCGAAGCATTGTTGGTGTCGGAGGGCAACAGCGTGTCCGCAACGATGATGTGCGCAAGCGAGTACTGGTTCTGATAATCAAGCTAGTTCCTTAGAGCATGAGATCACTGAATAAGTTGCATTAGCTTGGGCATATACTTGGTATTGCCGGTTACCGTTTATCGAGGTGTCATTTTGTTTGCCAGATGTAGAGTGGTGCAAAGCTCGGGGTAGATAAAAGGACTTGGCAGCGGGAAGTGAAATCACTGACGAACAAACTTGGTGCCATCGGTCCGTCTCGCCTTCCAGACTGGAGTCCACGTGACCCGCCCTGTGCTTGGCTCGAGACTTTACAGGACATGGCTCGCAGTCGCCACCAGTGGCGTGTCCGCTGCCGTCACCTAATCGGACTGTCTGTTTAAAGTGTGTTTGGTGCTGATTTATCTGCAGGATAATGACTGATTATGACGTGGGGCAGTGAAAGCCGCAAGGAAGCTGTCTTGCTAATGCCACCTTACCTTTGCAAGATAGCCAGATGTTTGTGGTAGTATGTTGTTGGCACAAGGCGTAGGCGCCTTGACACTGAACGTTTGCTTAGGGCATTAAGATTTTCAGGTAAGTCCATCTTCTCTCCCTCTTATTGTTCTTCGTTCCGTAGGCCGTTATGGTTGTATGGCAGCGAAGCATCAGTTCAAATGGCTGATATACTGCTGTTAGTGATGAAGCTTCCCACTCGTGGAAGTCCAGTGCCGCAAAAATGGAAACCGTTGGCATCCTTCAAAGTAATCTGAGCAAACATGCGTACCAAAATGCGCTTACTTGTTGAGATATTGTGTGTGCGGTGGAAAACAATGTTATATAATGCACACAAGAATGCAACTGAAACGGAGTTTTATGCACTACTTGAGTACGTCTGAGAACAAACAGGTATGATCGATAGTCCAAAGGATGATCTGATGCTGAACATGGAATATGAATACAAAGTGGTGTTAGAACCAAATGACACAAGTTCCGGAAAATCAGTAGATCACCCATATCACACTAGAGCGAAACTCACTTTTAAAACACCACCTTCGTCCACGGCTTCCTCGCCTTCAAACTTAACCTAAAAGAATAAGGTGAGAAAAGAAGTGTGGACAGTAGGCTGATAAAGAAACGGCGAATGGACCAAGAGGTTAGACTGCGTCATGAAGGCCAAAAGAAACCAAGACGGAGAAGGGAGAAACAGCGCACAAAGTAATCAAAACATTATTCAACGAGCACGTGTGGTTCAACTTCGAGATGCTACGTCGTGGGGATCCAAACAAGTACATGGGGGCAGGACCGTTTGTTCGCTAAATCCAAAATGGTACGCAATACGCCGATGGGATTCAGGCTCTGTGATTGATGGCATTGCACAGCCGATCCACTTCGAAAGGCAGATGAGGTGGAAGCCAGTGTGCTGTTGAAAGCAAGCTGCGTCAAACTAGACATGCTAGTGAATGCTAAGGGGCTAATTGCAAACCGCTAATGTATGTGCAAAGGGCTATAGGAATGGACACACTGCGCAGCGATTATCCAAATGACCTCGTCACTTGCGGAGTCTGCCGATGGGACCGTCTGAAAATAACTTGATTGGGAGTTACGTTATGGGCCTATAACTGAAGAAGCACAGCTATGGGAGGAGTGGACAACACTCCAGTGATATTGTTTCAGAACTCAAAGGAAATTACAAAATGGTGTTGCAACAAAAATACACAGTTTCATCGCAGAGGAGTTGAAAGTGGTAAGTAGAAAGCATTAACAGTAATGTTGGGAAGGCCAAACGCAGTCACCACGCATCTAGAAAGGCACCGGGGAAAGCCGTTTTATCCTATTGTGAATCATCAGTAGTGCATGCCCACAGAATCGTGCTGGATTCGAACATACGACTTTTCGCTTACATAGGGTGACTTAAGATATTGAGCCGTGGATGACTAATTACCAACATCGATATAGTGTGACTCATGCTCCACCGTCATGCAGGGGGGAGTTGGCCCCCAGAGTTAGGACTTATCTTGCAGGCCGCCACCAAAGGAGGTGGCAGCTAGGTTGTTCGAGCGAGTACCAGTTGTTGAAGAGTGGTAAAAGGGAGAAGCGTGCCAAAAATGATTCGTAATAAAAAGTACGTAACCATATGCTCACTTCCCCGTTCGCAGCAGTAGGTCAAAAACACGTGCATTTGTTAGCTATTAGGAAGTATCCAAAGATATCCACGCTTCGAACTAACACGCAATCGTTCCACAAGCAAACCAAAGACAAGGCACGATACCAAATGGCAAGAAGCCGGGTGCTTCGTGTTGATTCACCAAATGACGGTAACGCACAAAGAAAACCCGATCATTGGTGGTAAGTTAGTGCCTCACCTAATACACATATGGAAGGCTACCCATTGACTTGAAAAAAGTCGAGAGAGCAGTACATCAACAAAACCCAATCGGAACAGAGAGGATCGGAGGTCGAGACGACTGAAAGTGACGCTTGAGTGAGAATTTGGCACCATGAGAAACAGAAATGCTTTTCTACGAGTACCGCAATGAACGTACCCGTAACACTTTCCTCAGATCACTGGGATCTGCGACTGTCAATTGGGCCAGAGTGTCTTGCATCAGAGCATCACGGCGAACAGTGATGTTACAAAAGGGACTGGATGTGGGAAACAGAGGACGTCCGAACGGGACGGACATCACGGTTTGAAGAAAGGCATTCTGAGCAGCCTCGTTGTAGGCGTGTTGCATGCTGAATTTGGCCTCAATGTTGAGCATTCTGGCTTTGGCTGGAGCATCGAAGACAAATGGGTAGTCACAAAAGGAGGATAAGTGCTGCAATGAGAATGAACGGGAAAAAGGGAAAGGAAGGGGGAGGATGATGATGATGATACACTAAGAGTCATCAGTATAGAAAAGTAGTGAGGAGGAGTTGCAACAGGTTAAGTTGGGTTTGATAACCGCTGAACAGAAGCCACCGGTATGAGACAGTAGATTAGAGGCAAGCAAGGGTAACCAGTATTTCTGTCATCCGCAGTTGGGTGGATCTGAGTGACAACACCTTAGGGCAAGAACGAACGAAAGAGACTGAGGATGTGTTAGATCTGCGTCTTGAATTCATCTTGTCCTCTACTAGATCAGAATCCAAACGAAAACTAGAATTCAACGCCTGGAGGCAAAATGTGTTGCAGAAGCAGCTACACACAACCGGTACCAGTAGTGTAATAGCAATGGACATTTATAGGTCAGTCCAGGAATGCTCACATTCCGGGACAGATACGTCAGCTGCCCTGATTGGTGGTTGGGTTCCGCTAGCCAATGGGAAGGTAGGTAAGTACGCCATGTGATAGGCGCGAATGTCCCCGTAAAAAGTTGATCCTTCGGCACACAACAAAAGCCATCAGCAGTACGCCGTCACACTGCACCGATGCTTTGCTGCCACGTGACCAGCACTGGTCCCGCGTAGGCTGTATAGCAAGAGGAGGCCTGGCCGTACGCGGCTGCGCAGCATCGGCTCAAATAGTTTTCCCACTGAAAAATTGATTCTTCCTAGTATATTTTATTTTCTCCCGGATAGGATGCAGTCACTACTACAGCCATGGTTATGATGACACATTTGCCTGCTCTCAAACTTGAATATATATATCAAAAGCAGAGCGACGAGCAGTTTTGATGCAAAGTGCTCATCCTCCTGCTTTTGAGTTCAGCCTGGTACACGAACAGAACATACGTGAACAGCAAGCTAGGTTCCGCTCTGGCCGGAGTTGTTTCGATCACATCTTTAACCTCCGCTAAATACTCGAGTGTCCTCAAACGTCCGGCACATTAGCTGACGTGTGTTTCTCATCCTTGGCTAACGCGTACTGATGATGATGACGCTAAACGCTCGGCCGGCCAACGATCGTTGTCTTCCTGAAGATACGAGCAGCGCTTGACTCATTTGACGGATCCGCTTCCTGGAGTTGTCGGTTGAGGAGTGCCCGAGAAGTATATCAACATTGTTCGTGCTATCTTGTCTCGGATCGAGTGCAGGTATACGGCGGATTTTCGCCCCCTCCCTTTGCTGTCACCAGTGGCGTGAGACAGGGCTACTTAGCATCACCATTCCCGTTTAGTTTCGCTATGAACGACATAATGGAGAGCGCTCTGCAGGACTGCGAACCCAAAGACGTTGAGCTGCTTCGGGAGGACTTACTTGACGATTTGGAGTACGCAGACAACATCACCGTAATTTGCGATTCCTCACAGGCCGTTCAAAATGTGCTGTAAAGGTTGATGGTATCTGTCCCTAAGTTTGGAATGATGTTCGTTCCGTCAAGGTGTAAGGTCTCCCTACAATACTAGTTAGGAGCTGCCCCTACCTTTACAGCTCATTCTCTGGAAGCTGCATAGGCACTAACAGTTTAACGGATGAAGTCTCTTGATGTGTCTCTAAGGCCCGGATTGCTTTTGCTAATCTCCGCCATCTCTGGCGTCGTTGCGACCTGAGTCTTTCCCTGAAGGTCCGAGTCTACAATGCCACGGTCAGATCTGTCCTGCTCTACGATTGTGCGACTTGGCCTGATCGTGCAAATGGCGTTCAGGCGCTGTGTTGCTGATCACCGCGGAGTTCGGAGCAATGCAACGTCCCATTAGTACTGAGAATGATCGTCGAAGGGTTTTAGATAAGACAGACTCTGCCGGCCACTCAGCTACATAATATTTTTGCACAGACTTCAGTGGCTTGGGCACGTGCTTCGCATACCCACTGAGCGTTTATATCGCCGTGCACTCCGCGAGCAAAAGTCGGCTGGAAGCGGAAACGAGGTGGCCCACGCTTGACTTGGGCGCCGACCTCAAATGTGGCCGCGGTCGGCTGCCTGGTTGAGGGCACAAGGAACACAAGTACATATGGCTGGAAACCCTCTCGGACATGGTAAAGAACTGTGCAAAATAGCGAACATGTTGTGAGACCCTACTCCCATAACTTCGTTTCACACTTTCCCTCTCTTTCTATTCACTAGCGTTGTATTATATGTATCCATATGTTGTGGCTCCCTGCCAAATGCACCACTGGTCAAATGTTCTATATATAGAAAAGCATCAAGAGTATGCCGGTACACAGTACCGACGCCTAGCTACCGCGCAACCACCATCGGTACCACGTGGGCTAGGGGCATTGGCGAGGGTCACCAGCTCCTACGCAGGCTCGAACCCGTGACGTTCGTTTACAAGACAAGCTAGTTACCTTTAGGCTACGGGTCAGAGTGAAATCGGTAGTCCGGAAATGAGAGCCTTTAACGTTGTTAAAGGCCGTTGTTGCAAATTAAAACTTGGCTAGCGTTTTTTTAATACGTAAGTTTACCGTTCTCTTGTGATGCTTATACCGCCAAACATGTTCCATGCCTCCAGAATATTGTTCTGAGATATCAGTTAAAATGTTCCGTACGTTTCTTCGGCAACGAACGCGGATTAAGTAAGCACTTGCAAAAAACCGTAAGATGACTAGGAAGCAATAGAAAAGTTCACTGGTAGGGACCACCAGATTCTTATATGGGTGCTCGATTTCCGTTTGGTACTTGTTCCGTCGTAGCTTTCTTCGGACGAAATTCCGACGGCCATCGAATTGAGATCATTCACTCGGTGGACACTCGTGCTATCAGAGCTGCGGCGTCCGACACAACGACCCCGAATATTAATCGTAGATAAGAATCCTTGCCTCTTCTTCTGAGCGCCTGCTATCTAGTGAACACAGTACCCAACTAAGAAAGAAAACGTGTGACTCCGTCGTGCTTCAGAGAGCCACACCAATGACAGCTACGCTGGATACAGCTGTTGGCAAAGATAAAGCAAAAAAAGTCGTAAAGTGAGTAAATATTCCAGGTGCAGATCTCAGAACAAGAGTCAGCGAACAAGCTCGTTTTCGGTGGATCTCGTCAGGATGGTACACAACAACTGATGCGAATAAAATGAGTTGAAACATCAGACGGGAGTAAAGTTAAAAGGTCTAGGTCATCTAAGTGACGAGGTCAAATGCTTGGTTCATGAAGGGTCAACGAGATGTCAGTTGCATGTTCCGTTTACCTTTATCCATTTAACTTTACTCCCGTCTGATGTTTTAACTCATTTTATTCGTATCAGTTGTGGTGTACTATCCTGACGAGATCCAACGAAAATGAGCATGCTCGCTGACACTTGTTCTAAAGTCGTAAAGCACAGAAGAGCTGTTTATGCTCACAGCTGTAAGTCGTCTAGGACATGATGTCAGTCCTAAAGGAATCAGACCCCCTCCCCTCGAGTGTCGTCTGATTATTGTAAATGCCATAAAACCTGATAATAAGACGCCAACGGAGAAAAGTTTCGAAGACCAAATGCATGGTTTCTTTACCGCTCGATGATGGAGAACTGGGGATTGATATTGTTTCCGCCTCTCGTCTCAGTAAAAAGAAAGAAGATCTTTCTAAGGCTCGCCCCTTTAAAATCGTCTGCCAACGTGAGGCCGAAAGCTACCGTCTCGAAGGGAAAACGTTCTATGCTCTAAGATATCTTTGCTCCGAGGACCATAGTAAAATAAAGATGGTCACCGATGAGCTAAGAACTCGACGATCAAACGATGAAACCAAACTCCAGATTGGATCTTTATGTTTTGCAGAAAACCCCGAGAGTTCGCTGGAGGCGCCGATCTTAGATAAATGCTAATATTTGGACTGCGCGTATTGTGTACCAACATCTGAAGCATGAGAAACAAGCTGGATGGGATCTTTTTTATATTAGAGATATATTCAGACCTGTGAGACTTCACTGAGACCTGGCTGTCTCGGGGTATCCCGGTGGCGAGGTTCATATCACAGGATAACAAGTTTCTCGAGCTGATCACTGTGGGACGAAGTCTGGGGAGCCGTAGTCCCGTTTTAGAGACCAGGCCTCAAGAGGCACAATATTGAGGTAGTCATTGGCGGTGGTACAGAAGTGCACTTTTGCCAGATTCACGGCGGATGAAAATCCCTTATTGCCTAAAAGATGTACAGAGCTTCATCGGCTAACGGTGATTGCGCTGTGTACTCTCACAAGGCCTGTTGGGATGATAAGGACTGTCTAGTTCTTAGTGACTTCAAAGCATTTGATACTTGCAAGGGCCTGTCTCAGCGCTGGCTTCTGAGCTTCTTCTGAGCTGGGCTTCTTGAGCAGTCTTCGATGCCGACTTATCACATGTCTCCACGCGTACCAGGATACTTCCGGAACCGCCACCGCATATTCTCGATTTGGCACACATCAGTATTTCCGGACATCTCTGGACTGCTTACAGGGACGCCAACTGGTCATAGAGGTCACTGTACCCTTCCCTTTAAGTAGACGCGATGTCTCGTCACTTATGACCGAGGAAACTACCTCCGAAACTTTTAGCGCAACGATGCATTCTGATTAAGAGCGGCGGCTAACACGCCTGAATGGAATGTCCCGCAAAATTCGGACTTCGACTGTGCATGGTTTACCCGAACTCCAAACGCAGTCGTTTGTGAGAGGTCACCCATGGTTCAATCGAGAACTATGGCTTTTAAGGAATCGACGGAGGAAACTGGGACATCTTCCAGATCTCTTAACTAGTCTCGATTTATTTCAGCTACCGGAAGCTCAGAAACCTGTGTTCACTGAAGTGACGTTAGAAGATGAACAAAGTCTACGTAAATGATTCCTGTCCAGACCCGAAAAGTAGATGCATCTTAACATAAGAACCAAAGCCGGCCATGGCACGCCGGCATTGTTATCTTGACTAATAAGCTACGATAATCAACCGTTTGTGACGGGACGTGGTTAACAATGTGTTAGCCCCTTAATCCTGAGTGTTGGCTTAAGGC